GCTTTTTAGAGTAGAACTTCTCAACATTTTTGAAAACTTTTTCAAAATTTAAACCAAACTGAATTATGATATTTTTTATACTATAATGTCATTTTTATTTGCATTTTTTCTTTTATTTTTTAAATACATATGCTTTTCATTGCTGCTCTTTTATGTACAGCACTTAGGTAAACCTGTTATTTTTAAATGTGCTCATAACTATATTAGAATTTGTGAAACATAAATAATATTGTCTAATGAGAACAGGATACTGATCAAGATCTGCTTTTGTAAAATCAAATTTGCTTGCTGCTGCATGAGCCAAATAAAAAGCAAATGAAAAAAAAAAMCACCCACAGTTTGTGGCCCACACACAGTGGTGCTTTTTATTCTTTTGCATAATACCTGAATAAATGTAGTTGTTGTTGAGCTTGCTGAAAGAAAAAAAAAAGAATCCTGCCTGCTTTACAATGAGCCAGAGTTTAGTGGAAAGGTTTGTTTGGCCTTCAAAGTACACCATTACAAAATGTGGCTGTGATGAAATTAAAAATAATTAAAAACTACTGTGAAACTAGAGCTGATAAAAAAATGAATTCCACTTGAAAGTGCTATTTTACCTCCACATATTGTTGTACAATGCAATGTATTTATCTAATAATGAATACAGAGCGGCTCCATGCAACATTTATAGAATTTGCGGATAAAACTGATTGATGTCTTTTGACGACGGCTTCCCCTTAAGCAGAACCCCAGTGTTATGGCTGGATTAAAGTTTAAGCTTTAAGTACATTTAAGCACTAAGTACTTTACACTTGCTGCCCGGGGGAGTTTCTTTAAAAGTCTTCACTAGCTATATTTGACATCTTAGAGAAGATGAGGCATGCTATCCTCCCCTAAGCTGTTATTCCCTGTAGATGCAGGACAAATTGTGTTTCTATAAAACCAGAAAAGCCCTTTATGTAAGTTTTATTGGGAAAAATGTTGATGATTTAGGTTTGTTTTATGCCACAGCTGAAACACTTTAAGCTTGGTCCACAGAGAAGGGAATCAAATAATCATCATGGCCTTGCCCTGACACACTCATGGGAAGTTTGCTGCTCTCTAAAATACTCTGTTTTATGTGACTCAAATATGTTTTGTTTTATTGTCTTGACAGAAACAGAGGAATTATGTGATCTCATTTGATTTCAAAAGTAACTTTAAAGCAAACAGTTGGGCAATAATGTGTTTGACTGTGCATTTGCCTGTCTGTTAGCAAAATATGCTAAAATGAAGATTTTTTTTATAAAACTCTCAGAAAAAAAGACACTTACTTGTACTGTATTCACTTTTACAGGCAACCCGATTCAAGATGGCTGACACCATTGACTGACTTTTAAAAAATTGAAGTTGCAGTGGCTGAACATCCTCCCCAATAAATACCCCTCGCACAGAAGCATGTGAACCACACATGAACAATTATTGTTGCTTAAAAGTTTGGTGATAACACTTAAATTTGACACTCCCTCACCACATGTTAGATGAAATGTTCTGAATATAAATTTTGGATCAGCATCTACAAATGAACAGCTTCAAGAGTGAAACTAATTCAATACGGAAACCAGAGCGAATAAATTATTATAACTCAGTTTTACAGATGAGTTAAAATTGTATCAGTAGCTGAGAGTTATAATAAACTTGTACTCTTAGTGCTCACAAATTGTGTAAGATATTACATTATTGTGAGTTGTGCACCACCTGATTTTACAAGGTTTGACTAGAACAGCACAAACTCATCATTACACAACATGAAATGCTTTTAGTTTAAAACTGTGGCATATAAGGCAGCAGGTGATTTGGGTTAATTCACAGAATTCTAAGCCATTGGTTACATTAAGAAGTTTCCATTTTGCTTCCTCTTTTATTTATTTTTAATTTTTTTTAATTAAGCTTCAAGGAACGTTTGGACTTTTTTAAGTAACAAACTAAAGTAGGTTGTTTGAATTCAGTTAGCTCGCCTGCAGGGCAGTTTCTTCTTAATCACATTATAATTTATGGAATCAGGCTTTGAACACAATGCTGCCATTCAATCAGTCTGCTTTCCATTTACGTTCATTTACTGAGCTTTTTAGGGACCATATTCATCACTCTTTGTCTCTACTGGAAATATATTAATTTTCACAAAACAGTACCTTGAGCACAATTCGGTCTTTATCGTGTTGAAAGTGGACGGGACAGAAAAGAGAGGTCTGTTCAAGCACTGCCCAGGAGTGATGTCCATAATAACATGGACATAATAAAAGGCTATATGCTACACTCAAAATCAAAAGCTATTGTCTAATTTTAGCCAGCGGGATGTGACAAATCTGTAATTAAAATGGCTAACTTGGTGATAAAACAAAAGCACTTGCTGGGAGACAGAAGATCTGAGTAGATATGGATCTGTCATTAGGCTAAAGAATTGTCCTTTGCCTTTTCTGCTTTTATCTCCCTAATGCGGCAACTTTTCTTCAGGATTAGCCTTTTTTTTCCGGCTTTCTTGGTGAAAAACAAAAGGCCAATCTCTGCAAACGTCCTCATCGGTCACAGCTTGCCTGTTTACTGCAGCAAAAGTCAAGGCCAATGGTTCAGCTCAGAGAGCGACCGATGGTGCGAAGGCACTTTTTGCTTTTAAATTGGCATCGGAATAGCAGTGGCGCTAAAGCTGACGATGGCCTCTAAACTGTGTGTACATAGGTTCTGATTCAATAAGACGGCAACTATAATCATTTTATTATAGTTCTTCAATTACTGATTTCAGGCCTTGGTCTGTAACAGCCACAGTAGTGTTTTCTGTCTTTAATGTGGTCATTATAAGCAGCTGTTTAAACAGGAAAATGGCAACATCTATAAACTAAATCCCCTGTGCTTTGTCACTGCAGGAGCTGAATTTAAAACAGGAGAAAATGACCAAAAGGTGTGATCATTGAAGCAAAATAAGACTGACCATCACATTAGTGAATTCCTGATAGACACAGGTAAGTAATGTGTGTAAGCGTGAGCTAGTGTCGTCACTGCAAAACCCAGTTTCTGTGTGTGTTAGCAGCATGTTGTTCCCTTGGATAAGAAGCTTTCAAGTAAATGAATGAATACATTATGGATTCATGGTTGAGTGTGGTAGAGTTACATTACACTGTATCTGGTAGAGTGCTGCAGAACAATCACGCTGAACAAGGCCAGCAGGACACTGAGAACCCAAGGGGCACCCGAGAGACTCCTGACACATCAAATCATAGAGGAGGCGGAGGGAATGTAAGGTGACATAACGGCAAATTCTTCATCCCTACAAGCTGCACCAACAGCACGCCCACATCCACATAYGCGCACAAATTCATCTTCACTGGCGGACACCCACACACATGCTGCAGATTTACACACGGATAGACAGAGAAATTTCCTTTCTCCGTGTGCGTGTCCTGAGGGTAAAGAAGGCATTCATATTCAGCGAATGATCGGCAGAGGCAGGAGCCGTTCAGATCTATTTTGTTTTCCTAGCCAATGGCAGAAAGCGGTGGCCATTATGACCTTGTGATGAATACAGGGTTCACTTCTCATGGTTTCCTTTTTTTAATGCGTGCACCTAGAATCAAATCTGAAGAAAGCAGAGACGTACTGCATACTGAGAGAGGAAGAACATTCAGTAAGACCTATGTGGAAGCTGCAATATTGCACAAGCATGGTCTGACATCCATTTCCAGGTGCACAGAGTACGGAGAAAGTTTCATTTGTGCCTACTGTCATTTATTCATTAGCTCGCAATCAGATCTCCTGTCTGAGGTGTGAGATGTTATAAATCAGTACACGACTGCACATTAAAAATTCATACTATTCATAATACATAAGCCATGTCATTTATTTATCACCTCTAAATGGGATTTCCTCTCTTCTCATTGGCTCCAACTCAGGAGCCAACTTCTGTTAGCCTGACCAGCAACCATTTTGAGACTCAGCCAGATCTGAGCTAGACAGAGAAGTGTATAGTAAAGCTGCYGCTGGCATTCGGACAGAAGGAGAGAGCTTTTTGCTAAAACGCTGGGCTTTTTGACTGGCATCATCTGGAGTGGAAGCAGCAGGCAGCAAGGCTGCCTGTAGCTGCTGGAACAGTTGTTTGCTGCTGTTTCTCCTGAGCAGTCAATGTAATTGTGAGTAATTAGGCCTTAAAGTGGTCTTGTCTTTTCCCAACTTGGAGCACGAGTCTCAAGGGAGTGCGGCTGGATTTTAGGGAGGGGTGGGGGGTGAATTTCTAAACACCAGCAGCCGATTACAAAATGCTGCTTTCGCCTAAACAGGGTTGTTTGTGCAGAGTCTGGCAGCGTTCTACCAGATGCTAACACCAAACAATAACACAGACTCTGCAGCTGATATTAAATTATACGTTTTTGGCCTTGAGGGCCAAAACACTTAGCACAGATTTGCACAGCTCATTACAATGAATATGTAGCAGTCAAAATGAGGCTCATAAAGATGTGGTGTTTCATATCTGGCATTTACTGCATTACCATGTCAGGTATACTGCGTTCTCCAACAGCACCGTACAGTATTATTATATGAAACCTCATTTATAAACACCGGGTACTCCTTTCTCTTTACAACTCACAATGTTATATTAATGATTTATAATAACAAAGACTGAGCTTGACAAAGTTATGTATTACACGTCTTCATTCAAATGTTTGCTAAACACAGCACTGCTGTTTCAGTGTTAAGAAGCCAGATATTTAATCCAGATAAGCAAAAACAAAAACACAATGAGGGGCACTKTGTACATGAAACTATTTGTATCTTTAGAAGAGTTAATGTCCTGTCCAAACACCATACAGCGGAGCCAGCAACTCCAAAATCCCCAAACCTTTCATTTTTCCATTGACTTCTCTTGGCGCCATACGCTGTAGGACAAACTGGCTGTGTTTTAAGTGGAACTATCCATGTCTAAGTTTTTGTTAATTCAAACATTGTTCATGTTTTTGTTCTGAGCTCGTTTGACATCAGCTGGGAGGACTTACGAGTGGTCGGCTTGTTGCAGTTGTGTCCATGTCTAAAGTACTGAGGATTCTCCACCACAGGTATACGAGTCATTCCGATCACAACAGCATCAGGACCCGCATCCAGAGTACATGGGGTAATAATCCCATGGTTTACATGATGAAGAGGGCTGGCAGAGTCTTCCTCACCACTGATCACAGCTACTGGACCTGTCAGATCAAAAAGAAACTCTGATTTACTTTACGGGTTAAATGCACAGGTTAAATGCTTTATTATAATCTTTTCCTGTCTGTGTTACTGGTGACTGCAATGTCTGACACTTTCATTACACTACATTTAAGGGGATAAAGCATATTTTGATTGGATTTGTATTCGACTTCTTCAGCAAATTTATGAAAAATAACAGTATAATTTAATATAAGCACAGTTATTGTCTTACTATATGATTTAAGTATCCAACACTTGTTTGAAGTGAAACATTTATACTTAAACAAATTGGCAAATTGAAAAAGCTGAATACAGAAGGGTACATAATTTTATATGAACAGAGTTCAACTAAAGTGGCAAAACATGATTGAATTATTGGATTCTATATTGTATTCTAGTAAGGCAATGATAGCAAGTACTTTCATTTAAATCGATAACTCAGTAACTCAGGTTGTGAAACAACAAAGTGTTTTATTGACTAAACTTGACAAAAGATTAAATTTGTCTTATATCAAGATGTTGATTCAACCTTTGAATTCCACCCACCTTAAAATAGATATTTTACAAACAAAGCAAACAGTTCACTTTTTATGAGAGCTGTTAATGTTGCAACGTACTAGCCATAAAAAAATAAAATAAAAATAAAAGCTTCCTACTCAACTCAAGACCAACTCTTGAGAACACAGGACTGGAGCTGAAATCCCAAAATATTCTCATTGTGAGTTGTCTGGTGCTGATTAACTGAATCATTAACAAGTGACAGGTCTTAAAATGCTCAATTATAAATTATAAATGGACCTGTCTTTGAGTTGTGGCATGAGCTTAAACAAAATGGAGTCAAACATGTAACTTAAACCAGTGGTTCATAACCTTTTTAGACTTGTGCACCCCCCGAGCCAATTTGTCATACCACTGGTACCCACTCAGTCAAACGTAATGTTTCTCCAAAACTATAAAAATATTTATTTAATCCACTAGAACATTTAATTCTCAGGCATTGTNATACCACTGGTACCCACTCAGTCAAACGTAATGTTTCTCCAAAACTATAAAAATATTTATTTAATCCACTAGAACATTTAATTCTCAGGCATTGTATTTCTTTTTTCAACTCAAATTAAACATAAAGATAAATATGTTGCCTTGAAAGTGAATAATTAAATAAATTTAAATAAAAAAAATAAATAAATAAACCTGGTTATGGCAGGTGCAGAAAACAGCAGCATGCAAAATACACTGTATTGTCCAAAATATGTCAGAAACTCGCCCAAAAGAGCAAATTTCGTACATTTTTGTGTTAATTCCATGATTCCAACGGCAATTTCCACATTGTGGAAATCATAGGGCCCTGCATATCAGTCCTATTTTTATTATTATTTTTACACACCTGGGAAATTTTTCCACACACACCCTGTAATATCCTCGTATACCCCAGAATATACCCCTAGGTGGGAATCACTGAATTAAACTACACTAGATTTTTTTATTTTATTTTTTTGTTACAGGCCACTCTTTTACTTTTTAAATCGTCACTGTTATAAACATTGTATTTTTGTGAAAATCATCGTAATGCATAGATTTATGCTTTGTGTTTTGCATTATGTTTTCATTTTTTGTTATACATAACTTTAATGTTAATTGAAGAAGATTAACACCTTTGTCCATATTTAACTGTTCTAATGTATTCTGAAATATCACACTCTTGGTGCCAATGTTGATCTTTTATAATAAACATAAAAAAAACACGATGTTGCAATCTGTTGCAAACTCTACAACCAGAATGACACCATTATTCAGAAACACCGATGTCTGTTTAGGAAAAAGTAATCCTCATAAACTGATAACTTATCAACCTCTTGAAGCGTTGTCACATTTCAGAGTGGGATATTTTAACCACTACCCATTGTTGCTTGTCAAATAAATGAACTGCATGTTTTAGTCAAAAGTGCTCATAAAACTTTAGCCTAACAGTGCAGTTAATAAAAGCCTTGTGAACAAGGAGGGGAAGTCGTGATAGTTTCAATAAATATAAACAAACAGAATCAATGAGTGTTGAGGTCATCAAAAAGATGAATATGAATAACGCCGCTGTCACTAAAAGTAGATAAACTAGCATAAAACAAGTAAAATTAAATTTGCAGCTTTTCATTAAAAACGATTCCTCATCTTTCTGACAGCAGTTATCTTTCTTTTGATGTGCATTACCATTGTTGATATTAAATTTATGTTTCAGGGAGGGGGGGGG